GCGCAAAGGCGCGAGCCACATTTTCAAAACGGCCCGCCCTCCATTCGTGAAGCTGTTGCAAATTCTGCTGCTCCGGGATCATCAGTGGTGAGGAGGTCTCTAGCGCAACTCCCAGCCCGCCTTGCCGACACGTCTGGGAGCGCGACAGAGGAGGACACATCTACAAGGAAGAGGGATGGGGGAAGGGGAGGGTGACGATCGACTGGACTGTGCATGGGGGGGGTCCTTTTAAAGGCTACAGAGCCCTGCCAGGCAGCCCTTGACAATCTTCCACGCTTTGACATGCCGCTGGCACGGTGGCGGCTACGATCAAAGGATGGGGGGAGGAGGAGGGGGACGATCGTCCGGGCCGTGCAGCTCCAGCACCCCAGACCCCCGACGTCGTGAGTCTTTCGTGGCGTGACCCCCAGAAGTCTGGGCCCCGTCCCGGGGACTGGTACTTCATCCTGCATCGTTTCTCGATGGTCCCGAGGCCCGGGAGGGGCCCCCGGAGGCCGAAAATGATGGATAGCCTCCCGTCGTTATGTCTTGACCACGCGAGGAGGTCTGGGGCACCAGGAGCGCCGCCGCACTCCCTCGTCGAGCGCCGCCGGCCTGCGCCCCCGCCGGAGGTGGTGCGGCTCGACGACTGCAACCTCCAGGGGACCACGCACGACAAGGAGAGCCCGCGCGCCTCCTCCTCGCGCGTGCCGCGCCAGGCTGCGGACCCGCCTCGCCCTCTCCGACGCTCTGCTCGCTCTCGAGGAGGGGAGGAGGATCGAGGAGAGGACCGAGGAAAAGGATCGACGAGCAGGATCGAGGAGGGGGTCATGAGGATCGAGAAGGATCCATGAGGATCGCGAAGGATCGACGAGGAAGAGAGGGCTGATGATGATGATGATGATGATGATGATGATGATGATGATGATGATGATGATGATGATGATGATGATGATGATCAGGAGGAGGAGGAGGAGGACCAGTGTAAACCCAAGACTCGCATCAACGATGTTGAAATAACCCCTTCCTCCAAGCTCCCTCTTTGTAGGCCTCTACAAGGGTTCATTTCCATTGAGGGAAGTGCCCTGTTGGGAGACAACCGTTTGAAGATCCTGAAGCGTGCCCAAGCACCATTCTCGGGACTCGAACGCCACGAATCAACCTGACTGTTGCGCCTTGACGATCCTGAATCGTGCCAGATCACCATTCCTGGGACTTAACACCGCGCATTTACGTAGCTGTGGCGCCCTGACAACCCTGAACCACTCCAAAACATTATTTCTGGTACGTTGACCGTCGGCATTCGCGAAACTCTTGCAGTTCTTGTAAGACGAATGTGCGAGGCGCTGATGCGAGAGCAACATTTTGAAAGCCACCCGCCCTCAATCCGTGAAGCTCTTGATTTTTCCCCCCCATCCTGATTGGGGTTCTCGTTTTCCTAGAGCACCCTCTCCATCTCCCGCCTCCTGGCTCCTCCGCTGAACTACTCTACGACTACGTCAGAGCGAGGAGAGCGATGAGGGTATCGGAATCCAATACTCTTTACAAGATTTTTCTGCCCCACCCACCCATCCACAAAGGCCCCGTCAGAGCGAGGAGGGTATCGGAATACTATACAATTTACAAAGGGCCCCTGTTGCTCCCACCCCTCCACAGGGAGGCCCCGCCATAGCGAGGAGGATATCGGAATACCATTCTATGTGCAAGCTTTCGTGCCCTTCCCACCCCTTCAGGGAGGCCCCGCCAAAGCGATTACGGGATCGGAATACCATACCATTCACAAGGTTTCGTGCCCCGGCCGCCTTCAGGGAGGCCCCGCCAGAGCGATGACGGCACCGGAAATCTATAATGCGTCCTGCCCCTCCCACCCCTCCAGGGAGGCCCCGCCAGAGCGAGGAGGGTACCGGAATACCATCTAATTTACAAGGCTTCTTGCCCCTCCCACCCCTCCAGGGAGGCCCCGCCAGAGCGAGGAGGGTATCGGAATAAGTTTATATTCATCCATCCTCGCCGTCTCCCGCCGCCGCCGCCGTCGTCATTGGATACCGCTACTGGTCACTGGACATTCTGCAGCCGTACCTGGCTGCAGGCAGGTGCATAAGACGGGCGCGCCGTCGTCGTCTGTCGTCGCCAGCCGACCGGACCCCTCCCTTACCATATTTAGTTGTACGCCTCTGCTTAAAGGACACATATATGTATACATACATATGTATGTATATATATATATATATATATATATGTATATGTATGTATACATACATATATACATATGTGTGTAAGTATATCATGGCGACGAAGCACGTAGATGACAGGTGTGCCGAATTTGGGGTTTAAGATATGGGACATAACGCAGGATGCCAGGAAACGCAAGTTTGCAGGGAAAGTGTCACGAGGCGATCTCGGGAAGTGAAGCCCCAAGCTAGTAAAAGGGAGCCCCTGATTCAGGTGCCAACCCACGCGGCGAGTTGGACGGCCTAATCTCCTCTAGCAGGATGCTGTTCGTGAGCAGCTGATGTAGCTTCTCTTCTGGCCTCCTGCTGCAAATACAGTTTTCTTTTGCTTCATCCGCCAGTGCCTTCTGCTTCGATTGTAGCAGCATCTGTGAGTGCACGTTCGGTTGCCATCAAAACAAGGCACCGAACGGTAGGTGGTGGATTCATGTTAGCTGAACGGGTTTTCCTCGAGTGCTCTCGTCAAGCTTTTTAGGCCGTCAGAGAGTCCGACCCATTTCAGTCATAATGGGTCGGTCTTCGTCTGTGGAGTTCTTAGTTGTAAGAGCATTGCTGTTCTCTTAGTCGGATATGTTCTTGTTCACATGTGTCGTATGATTTGCAGGCCTCTAGCATTTTTTCGCTCACGTTTCATACTTGTGATTCGCCTGCCTCTCAGGGGGCCGCTCCCGCCAGAGCTGGCGCGCAGCCTGCAACTGTAGGCTTGACTGTACCTGTAATGTATCGGAATCAGTGATGATCCAGCCTATTGAGGAGATGGACACAACGGCAATAGTATAGCAAGCTAACGTACCAATCATGATGTCAGAATCTTCAGATCCTCTGGCAACTAATTGGGTATCCGCCGAAAGACCTGGATCAGTTCATGATAGCGATTCAAATCAGCAGTGCCGAAATCCATAATCGATGTTGCCAATCGACGTGCCTTATATTCATTTGCCAAAAAAGAGCCGCAATATGTGAATGCTTCGCGAAGGGCTGACTCAGTCAGTTCTAGCACCGTTAGTGTGCCTGGCAGAGAAGATGGTATCATGAGAGAGATGGATACTGACCGAGAACTGTCCTCGCGAATCGAGTCGACGATAATTTCGTTGAGTTCATCACTGCAAGGAGAGCCGCCCTACGCAGTGCACGAAACTGCTGGTTTAACTGGGAGTTCAGCGGGCGCCCAGAGGAGGATGCGAGAGGAACTGGACGGTCTACCAGGGGCTGGCCCAACCGTTCCCCAGGTATTTCGCTACCGTTCGATTCGAATAGCGGAGCATGTCGAAATCTCTCAGTATGCACTTGACATGTTGAGCCCTCGTGAGCTTGTGCCGACAGAACCTGTGAGGGGGCCTGCGGTGGACACGCCATTCTCGGAAAGACCGACGGGGCGATCCGAAAACAGTATTGAGGTAAATGATTTCGGGTGTAACCGGGAGTCATGCAGCGGTGTCTCACTGTCCAAGGATTCGGGAAGTCGAGGGGGCAGAAATTTTGTGACTCAGTGGATTCAGCTCATCAAGCTCAACAGACGGAAAAAGGGGGATAACATGTGAGAACCTCGCGCCCCTCCTCCGATGTCCCCGATCCCCGTGGGGCGTGCAGTGCTCGGGTCGCCTATGACAGGTCGCGCTAGATCGAGGAGCAGCCGCGGCTCTAGTAGCGATCTCCGTCCAGTAGGCTTTCGATCCTGGTGAGATGCTGTGCTCGGGGACCTCGCTCCCCGACGGCGGCAGAGAATCGGTGCCCAGGACTTGTGAGCAAAGGGGAATTCTCGTGGGCCAGTGTGTGGAGCGTGTTCCGACGCGTGCAAACGCCGTGGCGTCGGCTGGCTCTGCCCAGGCTGTGATGGCATGCAGAGGCTTAATTGCCCGTGCAGAACGGTTCTTGCATAACAGCATAAATCAGGATAAGGCCGCCGCGAGAGAGAGAGAGAGATAGAGAGAGAGAGATAGAGAGGGGGGGAGAGAGAGAGAGAGAGAGAGAGAAAGAGAGAGAGAGAGAGAGAGGGAGAGAGGGAACAACATAAAACCGCACATATATATGTATATATATACATATTCAGAGAGAGAGAGAGAGAGAGAGAGGAGAGAGAGAGAGCGAGAGAGAGAGAGAGAGAGGGAGAGAGAGAGAGAGAGAGAGAATGAGAGAGAGAGAGAGAGAGAGATAGGGAGAGCGACGAGAGAGATATATACATATATATATATATAGAGAGAGAGAGAGAGAGAGAATGAGAGAGAGAGAGAGAGAGAGAGAGATAGGCCCCCATCAGTGAGCGGGTGGTCGCTCGGATGGAGATTCGCGCTGAAACGTTTGAACGAGGAAACAGCGGGCGGCATCGGCAAATGCAGAGGTATGGGGGCCGCTTGATCTTGTTGATGGCGTAAAATGCCCATCTCGCTGCGCTGGCGATCGACCTCGGAAGCCGCTGAGCCGTGTCCGCAGGAAGCTGGGCGCGCGAAGGAAAGGGCGGGGAGGGCGTTGCTCGGTTCGTAATCGCGGAGGAAGGGGGGGCTACGGCGGGGAAAATGGCTGACGTGAAAAGATGGTGCGATACATCGGCTCAGGATGCTAGCGTCGCGCTGCAGGGAAGGGGGCGGGCATGCGCTGCAGCCGGCAGGCGTTGCTCGGGGGGCAGGCCGCCGTGGGCGGAGCGTGGGGGGGCAGGGGCGACGTGATCAAGCAGGGGAGCGCACGGAACAAGCCTGGCCGCCTCCAAGCTGGACTCGCCAGGGGGCGCGCTGGACAGCGTGGGGGGTCGACCGCGTCCCAGGCTCAGCCAGTGACGTCGGGGGACTTCCTACTGCCGCCCAAGAGTGCAAGGCGCCCTGTTGGGCAGACTGGGACTCAGCCTGCAGCGTCGCCCTAGGAGCGTCCAGGCCCCTGCGCCAAGTGACCCTGCCCGTGCCCCGACAGTCGTTTGGCAGCGGGGGCGGGCGTCTTCGGGGCACCTCGGGCGACCGCCGACGTCGCAAAGGGCCGGGGGGCGGAATGGTGTTCCGTTGGAGAAGTGCAGCTTTTGTTCGTTGCCGACGCGGGGGAAATGTCGGGCGCGCGCAGCGCCAGTATGAAACCTGCGTGGAAACTGCATGGCAAATTTTGGAAACATTCAAGCGGGTATTTCGCGCTTTGCGCTCTGGGATGGGAGCCTGTGCGCGACTCGATTCCGCCATGCTTTTCTCTGCGGGTTTTCCAAGCAAATCATGCTCGGCGTGTTTTCCCGATAGAGGTTGGGCGCTCGCGTTTTTCTGGCCGTGGCGTGCGATCTGTCTTCCTGAGGCATTTAAATGCGCTCACGTAAACGAACTCTCTCCGTTGGGCTGGCTCGCCTTGTTTTCGCAATTTCGCGATGTTGCCCCCCCGTGCTGCGCCGACAGACGGGGCGACCTCGCGCGCCCGTGGGCTTCATCCGACCCACCGCCCACGCATGTCGCGCCCGACAATGGAAAACCAGCCTGGACCAGCATG